CCCATATTTGAAGTCTTAAAGAGGTGGTAGACGTTGCTAATGCTTAAGGGTGAAGGAATCTACCATTACAAGGATAAATCAACAAGTAGGAGATGACTAAGTATGAGGTGGCCTCTTGGAGTTACAATCTGATTTTGTACAAATCATTGCAGGTAAAAAAATAAGTATCCTTAGCTTATTTTAATGTGCTTACAATCCAATTTACTTGCCCTAAGATCTCAAAATATTTTATAGCATTACTTCCTCAACCGTTCATTTAATTACTTACCCGATTGACACCCGATTATCAGTCAATGTCAACAATTCACACCTCAACTTTTATAACGTCATATAAAACTCATATTACTATGTAGTGATCATGTTACTTCATGCTTCATGTCCTAAATATGTCAATTACTCATTTAGAGTTTATGTGACCTTGATCAACCGAATGGAAAGCTATAACCATTATTGATACTAATTTTGCCCTTTCAAGGTTTCAATTGCGTAACTAGTCAATCTTCCACATCTAGATTAACCTAGCTTCTCTATTATCGCTCAATGTAGAATTTATTACCTAGGTCAGGGAGTCAAAGGCTAACACCATATAAAGATCGTATGCTCTCAATAATCACATATACCATCTTTAAAAGAAAGCAATTAGGGAAATGGATGCAAATGACATTGTAAATAGCATGCATGAATCATATTAGCCAAATATGTAACGTAAAGTTCGGGGTATTACATCTGTTAAGATATATTTTAGTTAAGGTTATTTATATAATTATACAGCTCTTCATTCATACAATAGGCGTGAGTAATTGGCTCCATTTGTGTATATATAGGTGCTGTTAAAGCATATATGAAAATTCATTCAACAGTTTTTCCCACCACTTTTCCTTTTCCATATTTTTCACGAATCTCTGCAGCTCTTCATGGTTTCAAAGCAATCAATTGAAGCTTTTGTGTAATGGCGGATTAATCAAGCGTTGCTGTAGATTTACAAGGTCAACGTGATCATACAAATTCATCTAGCAAATTTATCTATTGGCGAAATGGCTGCAGGAGACACCAATTCTCTTCTTAGTTGATTGATAACTGATCCAGCTAGTCTCTACTATCTTTACTATGGAGATAACACAAGTATGCAGATCATTTCGATTTTTCTCACTGAAGACAACNTCTAGATTAACATATCTTCTCTATCAATGTAGAATTTATCACCTAGGTCGAGGAGTCGAAGGCTAACACCATATAAAGAACGTATGCTCTCAATAATCACATATACCATCTTTAAAAGAAAGCAATTAGGGAAATGGATGCAAATGACATTGTAAATAGCATGCATGAATCATATTAGCCAAATATGTAACGTAAAGTTCGGGGTATTACATCTGTTAAGATATATTTTAGTTAAGGTTATTTATATAATTATACAGCTCTTCATTCATACAATAGGCGTGAGTAATTGGCTCCATTTGTGTATATATAGGTGCTGTTAAAGCATATATGAAAATTCATTCAACAGTTTTTCCCACCACTTTTCCTTTTCCATATTTTTCACGAATCTCTGCAGCTCTTCATGGTTTCAAAGCAATCAATTGAAGCTTTTGTGTAATGGCGGATTAATCAAGCGTTGCTGTAGATTTACAAGGTCAACGTGATCATACAAATTCATCTAGCAAATTTATCTATTGGCGAAATGGCTGCAGGAGACACCAATTCTCTTCTTAGTTGATTGATAACTGATCCAGCTAGTCTCTACTATCTTTACTATGGAGATAACACAAGTATGCAGATCATTTCGATTTTTCTCACTGAAGACAACTACTCAACGTGGAGTCGAGCTGTGGTTGTGGCATTGAATGTTAAAAACAAAGAAGTTATATTGATGAAACAATAAACAAACCTCACAAAGAGGATCCTCTGTTCAGTGCTTGGAGAAGGTGCAATCACGTTGTCTCTTCCTGGATCATTAATTCTATTTCTAAGGAACTCTATCATAGTGTGATGCACAAAGATTCTTCGAGGAAAATATGGATAGAACTTCGAGATAGGTACAGTTAAAACAATAGAACACGCATCTATGAGTTGAAGAAGCGGATCTCTTCGATTTCACAGGAGAACGGTTCAGGCAGTTCTTACTTTAACAGATTCAAAGGACTTTGGGAAGAGTTGGATAATTATAGACCTGATGTTGACAGCAATTGTTATAAACATGAGGATCAAGTTATGTAGTTTTTAATGGGGCTTGATGATCAATTGTCTGCTGCTAGAAGTCAGGTGTTGTTGATGGATCCACCGCCTTTACTAAATAAAGTGTTTGCTCTTATATTGCAAGATGAAAAACAGAAGGATGTTGCTGCTAAGAAGCAGCAACACTTCGAGGCAACAGCTTTTGCCAGTAAGATGATGAATGGATCTATTGCCAATCACAGACAAAACTCATTCAATCAGTCTCAAAGGAAAGACAGACCTATGTGCAGTTATTACGGTATGCTTGGGCACATCAAAGCAAAGTGTTAAAAGCTCGTTGGTTATCTTCCAGGCCACAAGATCGCTAGACGAAAAATACCTGTTGCTAGTGGAGTTGCTTAAGCTCCAGTTGAGAGAAAATTTGAGGTTGTTAACTTTCAACCAAATGTGACTTTTACTCCATATTAATGCCAACAACTTCTGGCTATGCTTGTTCCTCGACTGCAAGCACAATTAGCTACTAGAAGTTCAACAATACAGGGTGTACCACAGGCCACATCATCAAGTCCTGAACCATTTATTTTTTCAAGTAATAATATTCGTTCTAATAATGGGGCAAATGGAGTTGAGTGGATCATAGACACTGGGGCATCTGAACATATGGTTTGCTCCATCAAATACTTAACTAATATTACAGCTAAGATAAGTACTTCTGTAAGGCTACCAAATGGAGATCTTGTGGCTTCGACAAATGTTGGCACAGTAAAGTTATCTGATGACTTGATTTTGACAGATGTTCTTGTGGTACATCTTTTACATTTAACCTCATATCTGCAAGCAATTTGATTCTGAAGCATAATTGTTTTCTGATTTTCATGTATGATTCTTGCCTTGTACATGATCTTTTAAAATGGAGGACGATTGTGGTAGGCAAACTTGAGAATGGATTATACCACTTCCAACTTCCTGATCATCAGTCAAGTAGCAAATCCTTCATCAAATTTTATCAGTCAAATACAAATTATGTTAAACCTTTCAATGTTAAGCCTGTTATTTCCTATTGCAGTCCTGTTCCTAATCTTCATTGTAATAAAATTACTTCTAGTACTTGTAATTCTTTGAACAAGGATAATCTTAGCAGCCACATTGATATATGGCATTGCCGGTTAGGTCATTTACCTGCTTCAAAGTTATCTTCCTTACATAAATATGTTCCTAACATCAAATTCAATGAACTCATAAATTACCCTATATGTCCCCTCCTTTCCACATAGTGAGACAAAAGCTTCCAAAGCCTTTGATGTTATCCATTGTGCTATATGGGGCCATATTCCACTCATTCTTTAAATGGATCTCAATATTTTCTGACTATAGTTGATGACTATAGTAGAGTTACTTGGACATATCTCATGAAATATATATCTCAAACCATACCAATCATTGAAGCCTTTTACACCCTAATTCAAACACATTTTCATAGTAACATTAAAACTTTAAGGTTTGACAATGGTGTAGAGTTTTTGATGACAAAATTCTTTCATTCTAAAGGTATTTTACATTAAGTTAGCTGTGTAGAAACTCCACAGCAAAACGGTGTAGTTGAGAGAAAAAGCCAACACATATTAAACATTGCTAGAGCCCTCAAATTCCAAGCCAATTTACCACATAAATTTTGGGGTGATTGCATCCTCACTTAACACACCTTATTAACAGAACTCATTCCTCTATCCTTGCTGATAAATTCCCCTATGAAATGCTGTACCAAACTGTACCATCCTATACCCATCTCAAGGTGTTTGGCTGCCTCTGCTATGTTGTCACCTTGAAGAGAAATCGAACTAAATTTGATCCTAGCGCCACACCATGCATATTCATTGGCTATCCTTATGGTATGAATGCTTATAAATTATATAACCTTCATACCAATACTAATTTCAATTCTAGGGATAAAATCGAACTAAATTTGATCCTAGAACCACACCTTACATATTCATTGGTTATCCTTATGGTATGAAAGCTTATAAATTATATAACCTTCATACCAATACTACTTTCCATTCTAGGGATGTTATTTTTCATGATAATATATTTCCATTTCATCATCCTTCATTCCTTCAGTCCTTATCCAAGTTTGTTGACTCTTCAAAGTCCAATCAAACTCTATTTCCAACACAATTGTCCCCACATCATGACATCCCTCATTCACCTCCAACCTCCAGTTTGCCTGAGGCTCACATATCACCTCATCATATCTCATCTAGTTCTGATCGTTCTTCTGAAGCTCTATCATCTGTGGTTCCAACTCCCTTACCTTCAATGCCCATTCGAAAGTCCAAAAGAGTCCCCACCACCTTTTTATCTCCTAGAGTATCACTGTAATCTTGTCTCTCAAGTACCTATCTCCCAATCTGAATCTATAGAAAAAGGTCATGCTTCAGGTAAGTAATACCATATATAAGATCATCTGGATTACAATCGGATCTCATGCACATAAAAAATATGCTTTGGCTCTTTCTACTATTTTTGAGCTTCACTCTTATGGTGAAGCATCCAAGTATCCTGATTGGTGCCAAGCTATAGAGTTGGAGTACCAAGCACTTGTTTCAAATAACACTTGGGATGTTTTTCAGCTTCCACATCATAAGAAGCCTGTAGCTTATAGGTGGGTGTATAAAGTTAAAATTCGTTTAGATGGGACTAAAGAAAGAAAGAAAGCCCGCAGGGTGCCAAAGGGTTTATCCCACTGCCATGTTAATATTACGTAGTTTTGCATAGCTCAAGATAGCAGCACTATACGAAATGCAATCAGTCATTCATCTAGCCTTCTACAATATCTTGACATAGAATTTTGCCTTTTCTGGCAGCTCTGCACTAGCTAGCATTTGCATTAGTGAATTATAGCTGTATTTATCAGGAATTATACTATGTTTCTCCATACTATCAAAAACGCAGCATGCCTGGCTAAATCTCTTGCTGATGCCACAAGCTTTAATCATCACATTAAATCCAAGGACACTCATTCTGTTCACGTCTAAACAACTACTGAAAACTTTCCCTGTTTCCAAAATATGCCCTCTTTCCCCTGAAAGCATCAATGCTGGCAGAGTAACACTAGAAAGTAATATTCTCTTTAAGATGAAATCTCTCAAACTATGAACATGAGCTTTCCGATATCCCAGCTTCTATATACATTCTAGTCATAGATGATTGGGTAAATTCATCAATCTCCAATCCTTTTCATCCATCTCTGAAATCAGCTCTTCTGCTTCACCAACCATATGCCTTATTGAGAAGTCATACAAGAGGGTACGGTAACTCATAGCATCAGATTCAAGGAAAGCATCCTTCATATTCTTCCAATACTTTGCAGCCATTTCAGTATCATTGTACTTCACATGTAGGTATCAGGGGAGCATTTGAACTCTTCCATTTTTTGCATCAACGAAACAACTTCATCTAGTTGGCTATTGTTGCCATACAAGTGCTACGGTATTAAAAGTCACTGTGGTTGGCACAATCCCCGTTTTGAGAATTTCTTCAAAAGTCTGACAAGCTTCTTTCACTTGCCGCTTTTCCATACGTGTCAATCAAGGTGTTATAAGTGTAGGTGCTCGAACAAATATTTGCCTCAGAATCACCATCAACAATCCCATTGTTCCCTAAGATAACATTTCCACCTCTACTTTACACGTAAATGACCACTTCTCGAAAAACTCCTCGGACTTCTTAAACTCCTCAACCTTTTTGTATATTTGAACCACAATTACTATGGTAACCTCATCCGGTTCCATCCTACATTCAGTCATCAACTTCAACCGCTTCTTTGCTTCCTTTGTACGGCCGCCTTTGCCCCACACATCAATTAAAGTTCCATAAGTCGAATTAATCAGTTCAATCCTCCTCTTCCCTATTTTACCCAACAATCTCTCAAACTCACTTCATTGTTGCATTTTCCCAAGAATCATAAGCATTATGCTGTAATGAATAACATTAACTTCATCATAACCATTTATTTTATACCACTGGAAGATCGGCAATGCCCTTTTCCACACCAACTCCTTCAACATTATGCTTCTTTCTTTATTAGTCAAGCTATTCTCCTAAGGCTTTAAAGCCTCATCCTAAACATTGATGGTCTACAGTGCTTCCAACATTGCATGAATACACCATCCATATTTTCCCTATTTCATCGAACACTTGGACTTCACTTTCTCCCCCACACTCATTGACCTCATTTCATCCCTAATTTTTTACTATTACTGTCCATTCTGTCGCCTGAGTTCTTCATAAAACCATTTTGGGTTAATTTATCTTTCTTAAAACCCCTCTTTTTTCCACTACACCTGTTGGGAAATTTCACACCAATTCCCCTTTCCTACTTAACCCGCAGGATCTTTTGTTGTTCAGAATAATATTAGCAAACAAGAAAAAATAAAGAATATAACGCACAAATTTAAATGGACCGTCAAAGCTTTTTCACTATATGAAAATTATTACAACCATATAGAATTTAATTGGTTTTGGGATGGAACCTCACTTGGGCCTGGTGGAGTGGGTTTGG